ATGGTTATTCACAATGTGAATATTAGTTGGATGAATGCATTTTTAAAGATATCTTGTTGAGAAATCTATAGTAATTTTTTTTGCAAAAAGTGCATATATAACTTGTTATGTTCAAACTTCATATTCTCTTGGTATGTAGTATAATTCAAAGAGAGGTTTTCTTTTGATTAGTTGTCACTGTCATCATGATGTCATAATGTTGACACTGTGATGTCACACTGTTACTATGATGTCATAGTGATGCTGCTATGGTGACAACGATGTCACAGTGATGCCATAATTATGTCACTGTATTGTTATAATGGTGTCACTACATGTATGACCTCATAATGATATCACTGTGACCTCATAATGATGTTGATATGACATCATAATGTTGATATGACATCATAATGTTGATATGACATCATAATGATGTCACTAACATGATGTCACTATGACATCGTAAGATTAAAGTTCTAAGGTCTAGTCAAATTAGAAATGCTAGATCAGCCAACAGCTATTAAACCATTCAAAGGTCCAATATTGCTTTATCATCAAACAAATGATTTTTAATCCTAACAACTTTAAACATTTCACAAGAGAGCAAAAAGATATATTTGTGAATGGTGTTCAGAAGCTCCATCCAACATTATCCATCAACTTTAACCACATAATATTGAGTCATCGAATAATGTTTGATGATATTCACTGATCCAACATTTCATGTTTTTCTAGGGGTTTAAGTAATATTTCTTGTATTTGTCATTTATAACATTGAGTATGTAATGTTTAATGCTAGTAAGTATAATTATAGAGGGGTACAGTGGGTGTGGTTGAGAAGGGGGTCAAAGGCCCAAGGCCATTATTATCATGATAGTAGCATTCGTAGTATAGTCATTATTAGTGTCTGTAAATGMTGTTGATACTATTTGTATGTTGTTGTATGTGAATGAATGACCCTGTTGAATTATGGGATTTTTGGGGGGTATGTTGAAATTTCAGGGGCCAGTTGTACAAAGAAAGATAATGTTATCCAATCCTAGATATTGTATGGACTTTATTTTGCTGGATAAGGATTTGCACAGCGGGTAGCACAATTCCTTTGTACAAACAGCCTCTGTTCCTGTAAACTGCGTTCAAGAGTCTGCTTTTAGTTGAGTTTGATTTTTGAACTCATAATTAACCTGAAGCTATTTTAACGATGTCGTGGCTTTCACAGTGATCAAACRTTTTGCTAAATTTCATTGTTGTTTGTCTGAAGACACTAGGGCAAGTGTTTTCTCAAACCTGAGCATTTTAGAGTAGTCGGTAGTTGTGATGGTTGTTTCGTAGAAAGACAAAATGATGTTAAAACAGTCATTCGTAAAACAGACAGGAGTTTTCCGTCAACGATGAGTGTGAAGTCTTCGACTATTARCCTTGTCTTATGGTTGGCAGAAAACTAAATACAATGAACAAATTGCATGTATAAATATCCATCATCTCAAATTATAAATCATATTATTATGTTGACAAACACTGCACTTTAACTACTTTGGATCTAGGCAGAGTGAGGCCATTAACCCGTGAATGTTCAGTATTTCATGGATTTTTGGCTCACTTTATAGTGATTGAATTGCCATTGAGTGATTTCCCAAACCCGTGAAACAAAGTGTTCTACTTGTAATTAAGAGTAATAAATCATTTTGTTTCACGGGTTTTAAGTCCAAATAAACGTGGACCACAGGTTTATTCAGATCACTTTGGTCAACGGGTCCTTTAGATTGAATATGTTTTGTGCGTGGGCTGTCACGGTTATTTTTTCATGATTTTGAAGCATTTAAGCGTTAGCTTAATATAAATGTATTGTAATCCATTCGTGTTGATTGTTGCCAACTAAAATATGCTTAAATTTCAATAAAAAGCTGCATAATATATGGATATAATGACTGTTTTCCCTTTTCTCCTCTTTTTTCCTTTCTATTCTTTTGTTCCCATTTCCTTTTTTGACTTCCATCAGATCGTGTTTCCCTCGAGCTCTTTCTTTCCATTCTTTACTCCCTCCCCTATTTTCTTTCGGTCTTTTATTCACTCTCTTTATTTCTTGACATTTTGATCAAGTTACCTTCCAAGATATACTCAAAAACGCTTCTTAAACACCGAATCATTAGTTGTGTATTTTATTGATGTGAACGAATAATGTTTGCATTTTCAAATAGTTTATTACAAGGCAGCAAGGGGATTTTTTTTCCTATTAAAATTAAGACGCGCTTGACGCTATATCTGAGGTGTAACAATCTAACTGAAAACAATTGAGTACATATGTGAAGGATCCACCTGCATCCGACAACCTTTGCGACCGTTTGTTCTGATTAAGATCTGTTCTTGAAAGTTGCTATTTGATTAGTTCAAAATTAAATTAACTATATGGCGATTTTTCGCATATGAGAAAATCGTGCAAAGGTTTTGGGATACTCGTAAACCTGAATACATCGTCCTCCTTGTAAAGTCTCATATATTTTTGGTATAATAGTGTAGTTTTACTTATACAATTTGACGGTACGAGGCAATGTAACGTTTACTCTGTAAAAACTCGTCTCTAAATCACTAAGGTAAATGACTGCAATGCTCCAGTTTCTAATTCTCTTTTGTGCAAGCTTAGCTTCAATCAAACATAAATTTTTATTGTCTTCTTTGTAGACAGAGTGTTTGCATTACAATAGGATCTCTGCTGAATAAAAGAATATTTTACATGCTTTCGAGGTTAAGGCTGCACAAATAAGATCTCGAAACTGGAGTATTCCAYGGTAATGTTTTGGTCGAAAAGGAACGAATAATTAACTGAATGGATTTCGCTGTATCATCTTTTTTTATCCAGGGAACTGAATAAGACTTTCTTGATTTGGTAGTGCATATGGTGTCCATGCAGAAGTGGMGAAAGTTCGCCGAGTGCAGGTGATGATAGACATGCAGGATGCCAACTCMGRGTGCATATGAATTGGTAATGAGACCATGTRTKTTCATGGCACGTATTGGAARTGGTAAACKGCATTCCTCTCCTCKGTCTCGTGCTGYTTCTTTTCCGAATGATAGTCCCATAACTGAAAAAAAAATAACAATAAATGGTCATCATCTCAAATTAATCATCATCATCAACAAWCATTATCATCATAATTATCATTATAAGCATTTGTTCATGATGTGCTAAAATCATCACCAACTTACCTCGGTGTTTCTTGCGCAGTAGAAAACAAAAACAAGAATCCCCTTAAAARCAAAATATTGAYATTGTTTATAGTTTATAGGTACATCTAAATAAAACAACACGTCACTGTAGACCACGAMATGCAGTTCCATCTGGAGAACAAAACAATTYATTCTACATCATTCCTTAATCTTTCGTTTTGTCTCTCAGATGAAGCTGCTTTGGTACTTGCAAGGGTTCTTAATAGAGAAAGCCTGAGAGAAAAGAGAACGTTCAGTTTAAGTTTCGACTCTCTTCAGTATTTAAAGGAGTCCTTAGCACTTCCACAGACATATGTTCATATGATACAGATATTGATCGTTTTCAACCATTCCCAGGAGATTCCAAAGATAAAAGACCGGCGGCCATGTTGGAGGAATGAACAATAGATACTAATGAGAAATCCTTTGTTAAAGTTCCTCCAACATGGCCGCTGTGACGTAACCTGAAAACGAAGAATAGGGTGATGCAGGTACAGATAAGTGAGTGTACATGCCCGTAACCTAATGCTATGTGCACGGAACTTTCTTTCTTACCTGCAGAGCGTGAAAGATCACGAAGAAGTAGTGGAAGGCTTTATCTTCAGAGTGGTTGGTTGCCAGGACACCAAGAAGCCAGGTTAAGATGATGACTGGAAGGAGGACGATGGCTGATATGAGTCGCATTCTAAAAAAAGACGAAAGACAAAACATAAAATAGTGTTATCATTGTCGACTTTGCTTAATGAGGCTCATTATTCATCTTTTCCAATACGAAAAAAACCTAGGAGTTTAAATTATTTCTGCGTTGAAAAATCTAAATGAAACCGAAGCATGAGCTTTGCAAATTGCTTGTCAAATTCATATAAAATGGATGGAGAAATTCGTAGGGAAAGTTTCCAAATTAACACTATTCACAGCAATATTTTTTTCTTTGTTGTATCCTCATTAAGGACATCATTTCAATCCACATTGATTGAACAAGTCATTACTTTGTTCTTTCGATATTGATGTCATCTGGATCTCCTTTCCAAGCCATGACGTCTTTCAAAGTTGCAGCACGGACGATCAAATTGAGCTGAAATGAATCCAAACCACGCATTAACCACTCAATTCAGCTCGTGGATTGTACATAGCAATTGCAATAATATAAATATATAGTAATGTAGCTTCACAAATTAAGTAACAATCTACAATAACCTGCATGGTGTTCAGAATCTTTTGATGAAACAAAAGTCTTACTATACTAAACGTTTACAATGAGTGAGTGAGTGAGTGAGTGAGCGAGTGAGTGACGGCCGCTTCCGCCTCAAGGATAACACATTTGGAACTACATAAGGTATTTTGTATCCTAATTATGACTTACCAGAACCAAGATCAGTACAGGTGCACCGAAATACCAAGCTTCTGCTCCATAGACAGACATCCAACAGCTAAACAATGAACAAGAATATAATTAAATTTCAWCRCSAATGKAAAATGCAAAATAACGCAATTCTTACAACTCGTTTCTGAAGGGCGATCCATGATGTTGGTAGGTRAAACCAGCAACTGCGCARCCAAATGCAACTGGAATTCCTGGAAATGAAAAAATGATAAGATAAGGAGTCTGACGACAAAAGCTGACACGTAACAACACTTCTACTCAGCACGCCATAGCAAGTGTACACAAGAGTGTAMACAAGAGAYACGTCGKTGAACAAAACTCTAACTCTCACGACCCCCTGAAGGAAGTATTTCTACTCACTATACCCAAGAAAGAAACATATAAACAATGAAACCTCAGTTCTCATCCACTGCTGAAGAAGTGCAAAGCTTCAACTTACCCCACCCCTGGAGAAAGTACGCGGAGAATTACAATCTTCCTACTCACCGTACCCAAGATAGTAACATACAAACAATACAACCTYAGTTCTGATCTACTGCTGAAGAAAAGGAAAAGACTACAAAACTTCAACTTACCCCACCCTAGAGAGGCGTAGATGTAAAATGTYCTGGTGTTYTTTTTGCTGAACACTGACTTRAAGATRCTACGATAGTGAAACGCCTCCATTAACAAGAATGACAATGCTGCGAGCTCAAACATATGGACAAATGGAGCGACGACTTCACAGGTTGCTGGAGTTGCAAGGTACTAACGACAAGAAAGAGAAAAATGGAAGTTAAGCTGAGTTACAGATCCTACATTGAGGTCGTTATTGTACATCTATAGCCCGGGGGGAGGACTTCCCTATAAAACATTGTAGGTATGCTCGACGGACGGATTGAAAAATGACCCTAAAACTGCATGGGGTACGCATATTATCAGGCATCGTTTCCAGACCCTAAAAGGTTATTAACACTTCAATTTTTTTCTCGTTCTTCGAAAATTGGCCCTTAAAGGTACAGAGTCAGCTTAGAACCCTAAAAGGTACGCGAGGGTTTTATTTTCGACCCTAAAAGGTCCGTCGAGCATACCTACCATGTTTTATAAGGACGTCCCCCCCGGGATATATAGTATATTCACTAAAAATGACGTCACATTGTCTATTTACGTATAATTATAAAATATACCTTSGATGCTTCGTTCGATAATCCAATGAAGAAGAAAAGATGGCAAAGGATTAGGGACAAGTCAATATTGAGAGCGATCTTTATATTGTCCACAGAATAGTACCTGAGATTGACACATATAGGTAAGGTTAGGAAACTATAGGGTACAGACTCTGGCTACAAGTATTGTGTTATGCAAAACCTCATACGTTTACAGCTCGATATTCAAAGCTTGGGGGTACATATGAACTTACCCGACGTAAAAGATGCAGACGGCCGCAGCGATAAGAAGAATAAGAGAAATGCAGCCGAACACAACAGCAACAATAACAAGAGTTTCTCGTTCAGATAAATCTTCCTGTAAGCATAAAATGTCATAATTAGTACACACTTTCGTATTTTTATACAGTCTTGAAAAGTCAAATTGAAAGATAATTGTGCTTTTGTCTCGCATTGTCAAATTATGGTTGTAGGGGGAAGGGGTGGGGATCGTGTTATCTTCAACAACAACAAAAAAACACTGCCTTCCTAATTACCGTTTGCTTGGTTTTCATAGCYACCGCAAACATTGAAAGGTGGTTGCTGGAACAGACGGTGTGGGTTGAGTTCGTCTCCACCAGATGACATCCCTTCTTTGACCATATGCTGAAAGACATACAGGAAAGAAAATTTTGATATTTGGACCTTTWCTGAAATGTAAAATCATGGAGCATTGTAGCAAAAGATGTTTGTAGAACGCATGTCTCAAGACCGAAGTCATAAAGGTCTATGGTTATCACCTCGCGCATCGTCGCCATAACCTCCTTTAATTGCGCAAATACGTACGTGCCCGCTTGCGTACTTGAGGCGGGAAATTTTTGCGAAAGCGATACGCCATCCTTAAATTACGCAAAAACGCRCGTGAGGCTTGCGTACTTGAGACGGAAAGATATCTAACCTGAATTTCTTGTCCCAGTATACACATGAAGGGCTCTCCAGTGTACCAACCTATGAAACAATCCATTTTAAACAATTAGTGCTTTTTTGTGTTGGGTTTCCTGTTCATTCGATGATGCACTGCCCTTATGACGTCATTTTGAATTGCCAAAGTGCATCATGGTATTGATGGCGGAAAGTTTCAAGATGGCGGACATCTTATAAAAACTACCCAGGACGCATTTCTATGCGTTTTTACATGCGTAATTTACTCCCTTACACGTTAACTTTGTAGGGTTTGTCGTTTTCAAGATTCGCGCAAACGCAATATTACCTTTTTATGTCGTAGCGTAAATCGGACAGGAGTTTTCAAATCTTTCAAGGTTGTTTTAAAAGAGAACGATAAGACATTTGTATTAATGTACACATTTGGCTGCTTCTTTCTGGTTTTCAACTCGTTGTTTTCATCAAGRTACAAGTCTGTTAAAGGCGAGTTTCTAATTATCCTGAAAGGAAATAAAATGACTCATGAATCATGCGTCCAACGACTGATTCACATAAGAAATAACGGAACAGGAAAATCATGCATTGGCACACGAATTTTGATGTCATGATAAGTTATTATTTCAGTTTTTTAACGTTCAGCGACGCCATTTTGTATTACAAGAGGGTCTCAATGGGGGGGTCCGTATCACGACTCACGGCTAAAAAWTKGACTTTTTYACGCCTCACGGMTAATTTTTTTCTCATTTTCACGACTCAYGDCTAATTTTTCAGCCGTTTCACGGCTATTTTTTCTCATTTTTACGAGTCACGGCTAATTTTTTAGCCGTTTCACGGCTCACGGTTAACCCCATTGAGACCCTCTTACAACAAAGCTACCAAGTACTTACGCGCCATAATCTGTTTCAATCTCAGTATGTTTCATTGGTCTATCCTCAACCAGATTTGTATAGGTGATGAAAACGTAGGGCCAGAAATCAAGGCCTATAATATATATTATACAATATGTAGTTAGAATTACTGCACTCTTATACATCTTGAACCTTAGCAAGAGAGTGGGTTGGGGAGATCCTGGTTGGCGACGAGTAGTCACGCCTAAGACTTCCTACTCGATCACATAGTTGTGCCCTCCGTTGCGTGCGACGCGAGGAACCACAAAATTAACAACAATAATATACAAACAAATAAGTTAAACAAAGTTAAACTAAACGTTAAACAAAGTTTATAAAATTGTAAAAAAAAACATTCGCAGGTTCTAATAGTCCGTGACGTTGTTTACCTCGGCTTTTGAGTTCACTAATGGGAATGGAGACAGAATCTCTCATCGTCTCCCAACTTCCTGTCAGGAATGACGGGTCAGCGTAGCTCGGGACTTGAAGAAATGTGTCTTTTGTGTTATTGACGTATTTATCGTCAGCTCCACCACATACCATCACTTCAAAATTAAATTTAGTTTAAGTAAGAATTATATAGTAATGCGCAAAGCTGCGATTGGATTTTGAAACATTTTGATGTTCATTTAAACTGTTTTAATACCAAATTTATCTTCGGCAAAATTTGTGGTTTTATTGGGCATTGCACTGATTTCGCTCTTCAAAGCCTCTGCAAGCATCAATCCGCTTTCTTCAAGCACCTCAGTCTGTTCCATSATGGAAACATTTTGCGGCTTACTCTAAAAGAATAAAAATATAAATAAAAATTTACTAAGAATGGCGAATATTTTTGTGCGTAAATTCTAAAAAAGAAAGTAATGCCCATATTTGGAGTTTTGTTTTTCCCGCCCTTTTTTGAATGCGCGCGCTCGTCTTAACACGTGACAAAATGTAAACAGCTGAAAGCGGCCATCTTGGACACGGTCATACTACTTGTGAGTATTTTGTTGAATTTTTTAAATCTGTYGAATCTTAAAGTAGTTTAAATAGCTATTCGTAGTTTATTTATAGGATTAGAACCGATTGGTATGCCTAAGCAAGATTCTTTTATGAAATATCAGCTCTGAAATAAGTCTCGGTTGTCAATATCGTAAACAAATTGTAAGTCTTACCTTGAGGCAATTCATTTTATTGCTGTAGGACTCGATGTATTCCTGCAGAGCGGTAATAATTAATATTATAATAATTCTTTTTATATAAGCTTATGATTAGAGTTCAATCTAATAGATCACAATTAAGCACTTCTAATTTTCAATATTAATTTATTATATCATTTTCTGTTGTTTGGGTAGCAGTATTTAGCCTGGCCTAAATTGCACTATAAAATCCCCATCAAGATAAAAAGTTAACTAACTTTTATGTAAAGTGATGACAAAGCTCATTGAAATAGTTTAACTGAATAGTTATTGCAATAATCAATAAAATTGTGAAAGAAATATACTCTAAGAGTCATAGATTAATAATGTGAAATTGATTTTTTTAAATGGTGTTACTCACCTTACACATTTTCGTGTCAGTACACTTCTTACCAGTGCCCCAGTCAACGGCATCACATTTTTGTTCATTAGCTACATAAATCATGAAAAGCGATGATTACATGATAATAGAATTAGCATATTATTTAGTGGTATTTATACAATGCACTTCAGTGTTTTGCCCCAGTCTTTAGCAACTGTTTCTGAAATCCCTGTGTTCTCTAGGAGCAGAGAAGTCCTGGAAAGTTTTCCCTTCCCACAATTCCACATTATATTTGGAGGACACAGGGATCCCAAGAAAATACAGTTCAAGGGAGTTGATGAATCTTGCTCTTAATTATTATTATGCACTGATTATAATTACCAGATGACGAGACACTACTTGATGTTTTCTTGTTATTAAGAAGGTCATTAAGCTTATTCAGGTTATCTTTTATATCTATCATAGATCCAAAGGTTAGTATTATTATGTATTATTATTTATTATAATTATTCACAACCTAATTGCTTTTAAATCTAATCTCAAAACTTATTTATTTAAACTAGACTTTTCTCTTTAGTTAATATTATTTTGTTAATATTAT